ACATGTCTGCAGTGAACAAAATTTCAATATAGTATATTTACCATTTAATGGCTCAGACAGAGCGAGGATGCTAGACCCCTGGTCTCAGTTAGCTGATGGCTGAACTCCATGACGCTGACTGACCTCGGGCTACAAGGCCCAGATTGAGTTCCCCAACCTACTGAATGGTTGAACTCCACAACGTTCTATTACAGGTTTCCCACGCCCTTTGTTTAAAGAGGTTCAAAGTTGGGAACTCAGAAAAATACCCTTGATGACCACCTCTGCCTCTGCAGAGTGGGTCCAAAGACTGGCACAGTCAGGAGGTCTGAGAGTGGGTGGGTTAGGGGGTTCAAGGGTGCCCACATAGCTACCTTCCTGGTGCTCAAACAATGGCAGGGAGAAGGTGTGGCTCTCCTTCCCACAGTGGATCCGGGCCCAGGCTACCTCCTGGTGCTGGAGCGATGGCTGCCGGGCAGGATATGATTTCTTGATGAGGGCCACTCTTTCTGGGATGGAAAAGTGGAATCTCAGTGTTGTGTTAATTTGGCTGGAGACGTTAAACATCCCTTTACATATTTTGTGGTCTTTTGAACTTCTTCTGTGACGTGTCTATGAATAACTTCACATGTCCATGTTCGAATTAGGTCTTTTACTCCGTGGGTCTAATTTTCTTGAGTGTGTGTCTTCCCTCTTCAACTGGTCCATCACCCAGACACAGCCATAACTACCAGAGGGTTTCATCCCCAAACTACCAAGCATGTCAGCTCCAGAGTCATACTCTTGGCAATGAACTCTGCAACCTGTTAACTTGGACTGAGCTGACTCTTGGGAAAATTTGTGCCTGGTGAAGTATTTATAATTTAGAGCACATGAAAACCTATACAATCAATACAGAAGGAAAAATGTGACCCTCGACCTGCTGGATGTCGGATAGGCCAACATCATGTTCCCTGAAATCAAAGAATGAAATCTAAGGAGCAATGGAGGTTATAAGTAGGAACATTGCTTGAGAGACATGGCACCTGAGAGACAGGAGGGAACCAAAAGCTCACTTCATTGCCGAGGAGCCCAGTTTTATAGAGCAAAGTCACCAAGAATACAAAAGCACAAGGTCGGTGCAACGTGGGTCCAAACTGTGACCAACCAATAAGATTCTAAGCAGAGCCACTTAGGTGATATTGATCCAGTGGGGAAGCGGGTCAGGGAGGAGGGGTTCACAGCAGGAACAAAGACCTTTCCAGAAAGGGAGGAGTCGGGAGGCCCTGCTCACCCACCAGGGAGAATGATGTCTGTCTGGGCCTTATTGGACCCGGTGATACCAGTTATAGTACTGTCAGGCCTGCCCTAAGCCCACAGAACAAAGCAAACAGGTTGCTCTCAGCAAATAACAGCAGCTTCTCAGTAAATAGGGCAAATGGACTCAAAAAAGGTACACAACCTCCCCGGTGCTGAGATGTCCAGGGATTGTCTACACATCTGAGAAGACCATCCTTGGGCTTTCAAATTATAAATATTTCACTCCAGATGATTCCTTGGCCCCTTCAGTACCTACATAAGCCCGATTCCTTTCCCAATCAGCTGCTGATGTCTCTCCCCTGGTGTCAGCCCATCCGCCCATGGGTGAAATCTCTCCCAGCCAGCTGCCCCTCTCTCTCTCTCTCCCATCATCAGCGCACCCACACACGGATGTGATAAACTCGGCTTTTCCCAGCCAACTAGAATCTCCTGATTCTAGTCCCTGTTCACTGGAATGAATTTTTCTTTGTCTCACAACAAAGAGCCTGCTGTTTTGACAAGTGGATTCTTTATAACAAGTATATGTAAGGTCAAACTGAGGCATGATTGAGACCACCAAGGCAGGCAAAGTCTAACCAGCATGCAGTGAGTTTACTGCCATCTGGGTGCAGTGGCCAAGAGTGAGAAGGCCACAAGCACTGAGAGGAGGGTGCTTATGGTTGATACGGGGCACTTTAGGTAGGGGAGGAGGCACTGCTCAAAACGGTGGAAAACTTTAGAGTCCCGTGGTGATAGGCCTAGGGCCATGGTGAGAGCAGCAGGGCAGTTGCTGGCTTCTTGTCACCGCTGTGCTCCTGTGGATTCAGGCAGCGGATCTGCTTGGGGAGGGTCCAACTTGGGGGCCCTGTCAGTATAATTATAGTTATAGTTTAACCCTCGGGCAGGCACGCAGGCCTGGTCATTCCATCATTATCTGGAGGCCTGGCCTCCAACATCTGTGCCTCCAGCCCCAGCTGTGATGTGTTCTCACCCTCTGCGCTGACTCCCTCAAGGGCCCAGCCCTGTCTGCCTGCCTGGTATATTTCTGCCTAACTCAGCTGTGTATAATACAATCTATTCGCTTTAACAGAGCTACCGCTGGTAAAATATAGTGTAGGAAATGATTTTCCTTATCCAGACCATGAAAAAATTAGAGCTGACTCATGAGTAGATTATAGTCTTTACAAGCCAAGGAAAAACTATGTAAACTTACCTTTAACAGAGCTCACTCATTGGTAAAATACGTGCATCCTTTCTGGCTGTTCAATTCCTTCCTGCCCTTTTGGGATGGGTAGGGCAGGGGTGAGGGGCTCTCAGAGGGCATCTTAGTTAGAAATCAAGTAAACGGAATCACTGGGGGGGGTGCAGGTACAGTGATGCTAAAGTGTGTATGTGTAGGTGTGTGTTACCTATGGCCCTGAGCCACCATGCCCAGCGAGGCTGCAATTCAGTAAAACGATGCAAAGCTTAAGCGTTAACAAGCCGCAGTCTTCTCTGGATGTGTGCAGGGCATGAGCATTACCAGATTTGGGCAGAATCAGTGTATAGGGAAACATTAACGCTGAGCCATTTTCAGGAGAACCTGTGGAATGTGTGTGCAGTAGCAGAGCGACAGCTTCCCCAGAGTCTGTTGCTGAGTGTGAAGAGAGCACACCCTGTGACATGATACACGCAGGGCACAGGTCAGCAGAGGAAAGTCACACAATAACAGAACCCCATTTTCTGTAGAATCTGTGCCAGGGTGAGTGTCACCAGCACACTCATTGGGCAACTATACACAAAAGGTAAACGTTTTAAATTTTATTTTATTTTTTGGTACCAGGGCTCAAACTCGGGACCTTGTACTTGTGAGGCAGATGGCAGTGCCACTGAGCTAAATCCCTGGCCCTAAAATTTATTTTTCATTAGTCTGTGTCTGCAGTAGACAAAGTTTGCACTCATTGTGGGGAGTTGGTCCGTGTGCATAACACATCTTCATGCCTCTCTTCAGCCTCTGTCTCTCCACTCCCAGACCCCTTCCCATGTGCAAAAGATCTATCTCCCTGCTCCTTATTCTCCACCTTTTATTGTGTTCGTTATTTATATTTTGGGTTTCTCATATAAGAAAAGCTTGTGGGTCTGATTTATTTCACTTAACATTACAGTCTCTCGGTGAATCCATTTTCCTGCAAATGACTTGGGTTTATCCTCACAGCAGAGCAGTGCTGCATTGTGTGTGAGCCACATTTTCTTTATCCATTCATCTGTTGTTTGCTGCTTTAAGATTTATTATGAATTGTGTTGCCTTAGACATGGTTGTGCATGTAACACTGTAATATGATGTCTTTAACTCCATAGGGAAGATACCTGAAGGGGAATTGCTGGGTCAAGTGGAATTTCTAGAGTTAGCTTTTAGAGGAATCTCCATGCTGATCTCCACAGTGGTTGTGTTATCTCCTGGCTGGTTATGCCAAAATGTTGCCCAGTAGTTCCTTTAGAAATGTCTCACCAAGGGTTGGGGATTCAGCTCAGTGGTGCTGCACCTGCTTCTTGCAAGCTCAAAGTTCTGAGTTCAATTCCGGGGAATGGAAAAGGAAAACAAAGAAATGGCTTGCCAATTAAAAGTATGCCGAGGGCCAGGGATTAGCTCAGTGATTCCAACAGCTGCCTCACAAGTGCAAGGACCAGAGTTCGATCCCTGGTACCAAAAGAAATATTCCAGATCTTTCTTGTCTCAGATAAAGAATTAGACAGACAAGCCAGAAACAGTCAAAAGTGTGTTTGAACAAAGGATTTAGCTCAGTGGCACTGAGTCTGCCTCATAAGCGCAAAGTCCTGAGTTCGATCTCTGGTACCCCCAAAAAAAGTTTATTTGAAAGGTGAGGGATGAAGGGATGAGGGAAGAACTAGCTCTGTAGAGCGAACTTGGGCCGAACAAGAGAGGAAAGGATAAAAGCAAAAATAAAAGTACACTCTGTGCAGAGTGGGCCACAGTGAGCAGCCACAGTAGCAGTCTGTCCATGGTGTCTGTCTATGCCGTCCACACTTCGTGGGAGCCCGCGAGAAGTCCTGCATGCAGGACCTGAGTATTATTTGACGCTGTCCTGGGATGTTACGATCAACAAGTCCCGTGTCTCCCAGCCATCTTTGCCAGGCCCTGCCTCCTATCTGGGTTGTAGTAGTTGACATTCCCGCCGAGGATCTAGAAGGGTCACACTCACACACACCCCTTGCTAGTAATTGCTTCTATATGATTTCCCGACAACAGCCATTTTTTCTGAGGAAGATGAAAGCTGTGTTTTTAATTTTCATTTCTCAAATGGCCAGGTGTGTTGAGCATTTCCCCACATGTATATTGTCCTTTTGTACTGGGAGGAACGTTTTTAAAAGCTCTACATTTTGGGGCCAGGGATTTAGCTCAGTGGTTCCACTGCCTGCCTTGCAAGAGCAAGGTCCCAAGTTCGATCCCCGGTACCACACACATACAAAAAAAAAGGCTTTACATTTTGGCATCCGTTACCCAGTGAGTGCCATCAGGGGATCCCAAGCTGACGGGTACAACGGTAGGGCCACCAGCTGCCAAAGCGGCCAGCTGAGAACCATTGTCCAGCGCTCTCCCCCTGCCTGGAGCGCTGCCTGGACCTGGGCTGTGGTGAATGGAGGGTCAGGAGTGAGCTGCCTCCCCTTCCTACCACAGCGTGGGAAGAGGAAGCAGGGAGGACTCTGAGCCAAGGCCTTGCTCACCCACTTCTGTTTCCTTCCAGCTTTGACACGGGGAAGATGTGCGACCAGACCTTTTTAGTGAATGTGTTTGGCTCCTGTGACAAGTGCTTCAAGCAGAGAGCTCTGAGGCCGGTTTTCAAGAAATCCCAACAACTCAGCTACTGCTCGACATGTGTGGAAATTGTAAGTGCCACCTCTTGCGGACTCGAGCTCTCCGTCCTGGACACAGAGGCACGGTCCCTGACCCATGCGCTGCCAGGCTGGAGGACAAGCACCCAGGGCGGGTCAGGCACTCTGTGGGGCCTGCCTGGGGCCAGCTCTGCCTGTTCCCGGAGGTCCTGGAACCCGGCTCCCTTGGGACAGGGACCTAAGAGTCCCCGCAAGGGAAGGGCCAGGGAGCCCAGAGCCCTCGTGGTTTGCGGTCCACCTGGTCATCGGCTGTCTGCTTAGCCACAGAGATAAGACCGGCAGACAAAGCCAGGGAGCACCTCTGCAAGGTCCGGGCTGCAACCAGAGCAAAGCTAGTTTCCCACAGGACAAAGGGTCAGGTCCTGAGGGTCTGGGGGGGGTCTTTTTCCTCTTTGCTCACTCCATCCCCAGCCACACTGGCCTCCCTTTGGCTATTTCTAGA